AATGCTTATGTCAGATACATGTCCTGTGTTAAGAAGTTTCCAGCAAAACAGACTTAATTGGCTTAATCAATATGCCATTTGCTTCATTCCTTGCAACTGGCTGTTCAGAGGCCTTCAGTAAACAAACAAATAAAATAAAGGCAATGTTCTAGGGTTCTAAAGTTGTAAAACAGATTGTTTAAAATAGTACTTGCAATAAAATATTTTTAAAAAATAGCACATGCTTCTAACTAGTTTTATTTGCATCAGTCTTTCTCACTTTTGTCTAATATCCCCTTAAAAGCTAAATAATATAATGTAGGATGGGGAACAACGGAGGGGAAGAGGGACTCTTTTGCAAGCAATTGTACTATAAGGCTAGAAACACATGACTCATGTAGACATGTATGACAAGACATATGACTTCTTCCTACATCGATACTGGTAAATAGGTTTTAAAACATACTAAAGTAATCATCAATGTAAGTAGATGCCAAAACTAACTACTAGGAGAAACAAAGGATGCAAAGGAAAAGACTATTCAAATGAAAATGACATAAAACCACATAGACTCTGTGCTATAAAGTTGAACGTGCTGACACTCACCCTTCGGTTCATGTTCATTTGATTATTTCTACGCTCCGTCTGTTTCTGGAAATATTCATTCCTTTTTTTCGTTACAAAAGACCTATTATTAATCATAAAAGGTGATAATTTAAAAAGCAATGCTTTACTTTGAAAGAAACAGTTATTTGGGACATATGTCTTTCATTACACATATTTAAACCTCTGATTTAAGGCCAGACACTAGATGCAATTAAAATCCAGAATAGTGTTTTGATAAATCCTTTTTATTATTCCTGCAAAAGTGATTCTCAGCTTAGGTGTGGAACTACTTACTGCATGTCTAACAAAGATCAGAAGTTAACCAAGCGTATGGATATAGTTAAATATTTTTGTTTAGAAATTCAGATTTCATGAGCTAATGTTTTTATTTGGTATAGCACTCCAAAAACAAAACAAAAACCCGTTGCCATCGAGTCGATTCCGACTCATAGCGACCCTATAGGTCAGAATAGAACTGCCCCATAGAGTGTCCAAGGACTGCCTGGTGGATTCAAACTGCCAAACTTTTGGCTGGCAACCATAGCACTTAACCACTGCACCACCAGGGTTTCCACAGCACTCCAAAGTCATGTCCAAATTTCTCCTTTCACATATTAGGAAATTGAGACCTAGAGATGTAATTTGTCCAATGTCATATACCTAGTTAGTGACAGAGTCTTATCCTTATGTTGCCTCCATTAACTCACGTTACTTATACTCTACTAGTCGCCAATGCCTTAGAAAAATGTAGAACGGATTCTCGCTGGCATCTTTTTCCAAGAAATAAGAAAAATAAGTGTAGGGTACCTAGTAAACAAATGGGGCTGAGGAAAAGTGAAGAATTTGGGAATAAAAATAAGGAATTCAAACAATCAAGCTGAAAAGACATCAGTCTTCAGAGTGACGCACAGTATATTAGGAATCTGAATCTCAGAGATCTGATTTGGCAATCAAAATCAGGCCTGAATCTATTTCAAGAAATACTTGAAATACCAAAAAAACGAAAAACACCAAACCCGCTGCCATCGAGTTGATTCTGACTCATAGTGACCCTATAGGACAGGGTAGAATTGCCCCCATAGGGTTTCCAAGGAGGGGCTGGTGGATTTGAACTGCTGACCATTTGGTTAGTAGCCGGAGCTCTTAACCACTACACCACCAGGGTTTCCACTTAGAGTACAGCCTACTGTTAAAATTTAAAGAGATGCTGGAGTGGTAATATGATGTTAGTTGTCACTTTATATTTGACATTTAAATAGCAAGCACTCCAAAACTAAGTAACTCATTTCCTCTGAAACTATTGTCTATATTTCAGAAAAGGTTTCACCAGGTGGATGGCCCAGCTAATGCGAAGATATGCAGATTTTGCCGTTCATTTTATGTAAGTTACTTAGTGGTGGTACAAAAGACAGTTTTTGTTCTACTATCCCTCTCTGCCTACATATCACCCTAACCCAAGGAAAGCATTTGACAGTGGATATTATTTCCACATCAGGAAAGTGGAGAAAAATCTGAAATTGTTATCAGGTATTTTAGAGGCATTAAAATCGAGATTCACACCTTGTTTGCAATAAATCCTGTTTAGAGTTTTTATTGGGAGGCACATTGGTTTATAAAAAATGAAAAAAGTTATTATAAATCCTCATAAATAAACCATATTCTATATATGCTATAACATTTTTTTAGGTGTTTGCCCAGCTACCTGGCTTTTATTCAGACTACATAGGGCTTCTAGATTGATGACTTGTTTGTTTAAGGCAGAAATGTGCTTCACACTTATGGTTTGTCTTTCCTGTCCGGTGAAGCTGGCCTGAGGGGAAAATTTTGTGTGTGAGCATGAATCCAGTGAAGTCCTCATTTTATATCTGGCACAGAAACAAACTCCAGTTCTGATGGATATTATTAAATCTAACCGGTCAACTTACATATATCAGAATGGAAAGTTATGTAATAGAATAATTAATTTCCAAAAGAGATCAGCTATGAAAATACTTTAGTATTCTGTGCCTTATGTGCTCTTTAGTAATAGTTCTACATTTGATAACTTTGACCGTAACCAAACAAATACTATTTATTTGTGCTGAGGATATATAAAAAATTATAACATAAGAAGAAAAAATTGAACAAAATTGTTATATTTGAAAATGTTTACACAAAAATGATAGGAATATGTCATTGGACAAACAATGTAAATGGAATTTTCAGTGCCTTAGTGAAAGTGTTATACTACTTGACAAACAAAAATTGATGTGTAAAATGAAGTAAAACTTATGAAAATCCCTAATAAATGCAGAAATATGAATTGCTTGTCACCAATATTTTTTAGCAAATTATTTGTACACTACTAATATACATCATGGAGCCCTGGTGGTACAGTGGTTAAGACCTACGGCTGCTAACCAAAAGGTTAGCAGTTCGAATCCCCCAGCCACTCCTTGGAAACCCGATGGGGCAATTCTCCTCTATCTTATAGGGTCACTTTGAGTCGGAATGGGCTCGATGTCAATGGGTTTAATATACATCATACTTGGTGAAGTAGAGGGTTAATGAAAAAGAGGAAGACCCTCAATGAGATGGATTGACACAGTGGCTGCAACAATGGGCTCAAACATAGCAATGACTATGCACATGGCGCAGGACTGGGCAGTGTTTCGTTCTGTTGTACATAGGGTTGCTATGAGTCTGAACTGACTCAATGGCGCCCAACAACAACAACACTAATATCACTAAAAACCAGTTGCTGTCAAGTCAATTCTGACTCAAGGCGACCCTGTGTGTGTGTCAGAGTAGAATTATGCTCCATAGGGTTTTCAATGGCTGATTTTGTGGACATAGATCACCAGGCCTTTCTTCTGAGGCAGTCAAGTGCGTTATCACCTTTTGCACCACGCCAGGACTTCACTAAGTGGTTGGGGTCTTTTTCATTAAAATGGTGTCTACATCAGACATTGTTTATATACATAATAATCCACACACATATTTTGGAAGTGATTTTTTTTGTGGAGCTGAAATCAGTAATTCAATGCAGTTGTTAAAATGAACTAAAAATTTTTTAAATGAACCATAATATTTGACTAGTCATTTATAAGCAGTGCAAACTGAAGGCAGTCACTAAGAAATTCAAAGAAAAAATTTTTTTTTTCAATTACCTAACCAAATGCAATAAAATGATTTGTGGTTTCTATAAACTCAATTTGCAAATCTATTTTGATTTCTCTGCCTTCATTTGCTAGGGCAGACAGGCCTAGCTTAACAGTTTTATAAGGCAACCGTGAATATATACAACATGTTAAAACTATATTCAGAAGTTTAGGGTTGCATCTATGCATAGAATGGGCAGAATGGGCATCCTCTCCGAAGGTCTGATTTGAGGAAAGCAGGAAGTTCAGCTGCACGATATACCTATCTGCTAAGGACTCTCTGAGGGACTCTTTCTGAAGGAGATAGAGGAGGGAAACACAGAAATTCATTATTAGTTATTATATATTATAAATTTAGCATAGCTTATTTTTAGATTTAAGTGCTTAGCTACTAACTGAAAGGCTGGCACTTCAAATTCACCCAGAGGCATCTCAGAAGAAAGGCCTGGTGATCTACTTCTGAATGATCACAGCCACGGGAAACCCTATGGAGCATGGTTCTACTCTAATATACGTGGGGTCACCATGAGTCCGAGTCCACTCTATGGTAACTGGTACGGTTTTTTGTTTGGTTTGGTTGTTAGAGTAACTAGCCTAGCAGGTTGGAAGTTCCAAAGGAAATGGGGCACTGAGTCAAAATATTTTGATTATGCAATTTCTGTTACAACAAACACGTGTTTACCCATTAAAACACAGATATATATAAAGCATGACATTACATTTCTATATCACTAACATAACGTACTAATGATTCATTGTATTTTTACCTGTTAACTTCAGACACAATTTTGAGTGATGGTTTGAATCTTCCTGCTGGTGAGTATCTTTGATATCTTCCTGATTGCCCATGAGATCTCTCTGAGTGGCCATAAGATCTCTCTGAATGACCACGGTATCTCTCCAACTGGCCACGAAATCTCTCCAATTTGCCATGAGATCTCTCAGATTCATCATGAGATCTCTCTGAACGGCCACAAGATCTCTCTAAGTAGCCACGAGATCTCTCTGAATGACCATAATATCTCTCTGATTCACTACAAGATCTCTCCGATTCGTCATGAGCTCTCTCTGAGTGGCCACGAGATCTCCTTGATTTGCCACGAGATCTCTCTGATTTGTCATTAGATCTCACTGAGTGGCCATTAGATCTCTCTGAGTAGCCATTAGCTCTCTCTGAACGACTATACCTCTCTGATATGCCACAAGATCTCCTGGATTCACCACAAGATCTCTTTGATTTGCCATGAGATCTCTCTGATTCACCACAAGATCTCACTAAGTGGCCACGAGATCTCTCTGAGTAGCCATGAGATCTCTCTGAACCACCATGATATCTCTCCGATTCGCCATGAGATCTCTTTGATTCATCACGAGATCTCTCCGACTCGCCACGAGATCTCTTCCATTCACTACGAGATCTCTCAGATTTGCCATGAGATCTCTCGGATTCGCCACCAGATCTCTCCGATTCGCCACGAGATCTCCTGGATTCGCCACGAGATCTCCTGGATTCGCCACGAGATCTCTCCGATTCGCCACGAGATCTCCCGGATTCGCCACCAGATCTCTCCGATTCGCCACGAGATCTCCCGGATTCGCCACGAGATCTCTCCAATTCGCCACGAGACCTCTCCGATTCGCCACGAGATCTCCTGGATTCGCCGCGAGATCTCTCCAATTCGCCACGAGATCTCTCCGATTCGCCACGAGATCCCTCCGATTCGTCACGAGATCTCTCCGATTCGCCACGAGATCTCCCAGATTCGCCACGAGATCGCTCCGATTCGCCACGAGATCCCTCCGATTCGTCACGAGATCTCTCCGATTCGCCACGAGATCTCCCGGATTCGCCACGAGATCTCTCCGATTCGCCACAAGATCTCTCCGATTCGCCACAAGAGCTACTCGATTCGCCACGAGATCTCTCTGATTCGCCACGAGATCTTCTCCATTCTTCACGAGATCTTTCTGATTTGCCATGAGATCTCTCTGACTTGTCATGAGATCTCTTGGATTGGCCATGAGATCTCTCTGGTTGGCTTTGAGATCTTTCTGAGTAGCCATTAGATCTTTTCAAGTGGTGTTGATTTTCTGCGAATTGGCCTTGAGAGCCTTCTGATTTGCCTTGATTTCGTTCCGATTGATGCTGGTTCCCTTCTGACTGGCCTTTATTCTTCTCTGATTGGGCCTTACAATCATCATTGCAAGTCTCCTGCAAAAACATCCCAATTTTGCAAAACAACTTAAACATATACTCCACAATTTCATTAAATCATAATAATATTTGGTCAAGACTGTTTCTATGGACATCTGTTTCTTTTATAATTCCATAGCCCTAGTTTTATATACTAAATAGTTTTCAGAACTAATTTGCAGAATAGCTCTGATGTCCCATGTCTTTGGCACAAAGAATATTATGCACATCAAATTTCAATAAAATAAAAAATAAGGAAACTAAGTTGCTTTGCTAACTTGAACATATTCCAAGGTCATCGTCTACCTACCATATTCTGGATCTATGTTTTACCCAAAGAAACAACAGACTCCATGACTTTATATTTGAGGAGAGACAAAATAGTCAATAATATTTTATAGCATAAAATCCTTAAGATGAAAGAATTCAAAATCAGACTGTTTATTCTTTATCTGCTCAATGCTCATTAAAAAAGCTCTCTCTCTTCAGTATAAATTGAAATTAATTCTAGAGAGAAAGATAAAATATGTGAGGGGAAAGTGAGCTATAAAGGAAGCAAAAAATCGGCTCAATACTGTTCAAGTAAACTGGCCTGGCAACAACTAAGCCTTTCCACCTTTTCAATTTTTAAACCAAAAGGGCAATAGAGTCAATCAACCAAATGGAAATAATGGCACCTTTGACAAATCAATGAGGCTGATAGCATACCCACCATCTTGAATAAGCAAAGGGTGGTTCCTGCCATTCCCATGTGATATGAGAACTAACTCCTTGCATGTGAGGTATCTCCTTATTAGGTAATGTAGGAACTAACCTCCGTCTTTAAGGTATCTCCTTATTTAGGTATACTTCTGGTTCCAGTTCAGTTAAGAAAAACTAGAGACTGGGGTCCCAAGACGAGTCAAAACTGATCTGGAACCAGGTTTTGCCCCTGACATGCGCAGCACCAACAACCGTGTCCCCTGGATGACCTATTGACGTCAGAGGCCGAAAAACACACCCCCGTCTACGCCCCACATGTGGGCAAAACACCATCTTTGCGGCCCCCCTCTTAGACTGAGCAGCTGCAGAAGATTGGACCGCCCCAAGAACGCCTTTATGGGCCAAACCAATCAGCAGGCTGACTCCACCTGGGGGCGTCCCTGAAGACCCCAGACCCATTTTTACTCTACACATATAAACCGCTTGGGCCATTGTTCAGGGAGCCACCTTGATGACACAAGTCCCGGTGGGCTCCTTTACTTGGCCAACTAAATAAAGCTTCCTCTCCTGCTTCGTGTCTTTCTAGCCTCGCCGAGCAGATCTGGAAACGTCCAGTTACATACCTATGATGCTACATAAATGTAAGTGGATAAGGTCATATGGACCATGCTGAGAAATCAAGCTTTTCGTAAATGTTGCTTGGCAAACAAAACATGTCCTAGATCTAGCATTGTGACTTTCTACCAGAATACTACCAGAAGCTGGAAGTAGCTGATAAAAAGCAGGGGTGTTACTGGCATAAAGAAAGTTATGTGCATAAAACTTGAATAAAGTAAAAATATGAAAAAGTAGTTGCTTTGCTAAAGAATAAAGCCATAGCCACTCTCCAGCTTCTCTACTGAAAAATATAAAGAAGGAGAATGAGTGGAGTGCACATGTACTTTTTCTCCTAAGTGACTAGTTTGGGAGCACAGTTGGTCAGCAGGAAAGATAGGATTGAGACTCATCTCCTAAAGACCCAATACCTTCCCAAAAGAGCATGTAGTCCTTTTAAAAGTGTCTGTACAAGAAATATTTTCATCACCTTGAATACTAGAGATTTCTTACCTTTAGAAAATGAAATGCACATTAGTTTCTTTCCTTATAAAAAAGCAAAAAACCTCTCTAGAAAAGAATTGTATTGAATACGTACAATTGCGTTCTACTGATATTAAGAGACCAAATCTTGGGAACTATAAAGCTAGCTTATTAGAATTTTGAAAGTATGATTGAAAACTGTAATTGTTACTCAGTTTACTGATGAAAAAATTATACTTAAATTTAAATATATTTCTTCAATGCAGGGTACTTTTTCTGGTAAGTTTTGCTATAATGACAGTCTCAAAAGTATAAGCAGTAGGATGCTTTCAATTTGAAAATACTGTTTTTCAATATTCTCAGTTCATTTATCCATCTCAGACTGTAGCAGAAGTAAGCTCATGTCCTTTGCAATCTTTATTAAAAACCTCCTCATCCTACAAGGCCCAGATGAAATGCCATCTTTTCCATCAAATTTTCCTAAGTCCTCCCAGTCAGAATGAATTACTGTAGCTTCACAGTATATAACTTAAACTCTATTAGAACACTTATTGCATCCTGCTTTGCATTAAATTTCTTTCTCTCCCATCACCACAGATAATGTCAAGCAACACTGTTCTGGTACCTTGCATATTGCCTGCAAAGAGTAGGCACTTAATAAATATTTGCTGAATCAATTAAAATTAATCCACAAAGTATTTGAAAATGCAACATGTTCCCTTCAAAAAAAAGAAGAAGAAGAAAAAGATTTGCATTTAGATAATCTGGTTAGAAAGCTTTAACCTCTCATAACCACCATTTTTCACTAAATGACCACTAAATAGCACCTTGTGAGGAGGCAGTCCTTCAAACTAGTCCCGTGGCCATGTCTTCCCCATTCCTACCCCTACTAGACTAATATTGATTGTATTAAGGGAGAAAAGAAGTAATTTTCTAAATGTTAGATTACATAGAAAGAAACCATATCCAAAAGCCAAGGGAGTCAACTATGGGACTAAGAACTTGACTTTTTGGAAAATAGCCTGAGCAATTAAGGCAACTTTTGTCTTTCTAAAATAAGCAGGCTGTAGTTAAACATATGTAAATAAATTGGGAGTACCCAATTCATCTCCTTGGCAACAAGTCTCAGGAAGGGAGAAGGTTTGATGAGGCCTCCACCCCCCCCCCCCATCTGAAGCTTGCCCACGTAGCATGCCACATAAGCTTTGGAGTATAAAAACAGCCAGTTAAGGGGCCTTGTGGTCTCCTCAGCTATGGTGCTAGTGGGGCACACGTAGCATTAAGCTTACAGTTGACCTAAGTGGGCCTACCTGGCCAAGGGAAGACTGGAAGAAGGTAGGCTCCCATTGTGTCCCTCAGCCACGATGCCAGGTTGAGGGCATGTGTGGAAAAGTTCTTTGTATCCACTGGGACAGCTTCCGGAAGCCAGGGGGAATCGGCCTGTCATTTAACTGTCCCATTTAAGTCCCTCATTCACGACGCAAAGTGGGGTGCGTGTGGAAGAGTCATCATCTCTGCCCAGACACTTTTTGAGCCAGGGAGACTGCTCACCATGGAATTTGTCTTATTGTATACTGTATGCATTTTTTTTTGTAAATAATAAAAACTACTTTCTATGTGCTAACGTGTGTTCAGGCTCTGATTGGAAGAACGTGATGTTTACGGAGCAATCCATATCATTTATTGGTGCCTTTTTTCTAATGACCTCCTGGCTATCTAGAAATCAGGGACTACCTGTGAGTAACACGCATGGCTGGTGTGTTGTCTTATACATCTTCAGATGAATCACTTCATAGGCCAAGCTAAAACAGTAGCCCCAATGTCAGCTTGTGAATCTGGATGTGAGCACCTCTCAAATTTCTGTCCAATGGCGGGCTCACCTACGCCAATTTAGAGGTGATGCAATTTGTACAACTACAGTATGTCCCATCTGTTGGTTCCAGAGTGTATTTCATATCCTATATTATCTGACTTCTGGCTTTTACAATTCATTCACAAGGCTACTAAAACTGTTTTTATACTATAACTTAAGATCAAAGACTCTGTATCAGGACAAAAATGAGAAGGATTATATAGGACTAATCACCATAGCCAGTCATCTATTTTGGCATTTTATAAATTCAAAGTTTCTAGTGGTGATTGACAGTAGCAAAACGCAAATATTTACAAAAACAGTTCCAGGGAAAAAAAATCAACTAACAAATTTTGAATCTAAATTATGTTCAAAGTACCATAGAGGAAAATTAAGAAACAATTCCTGCTCTCAATAGAATTTAAAATAATCCTTAATATTAAGAAATAGACTAAATTGAGGACATTTTATGCTAGTTAATTATTGGTATTTATTTACCTGCTTAATTAAATGTTGTTCATTTAAAGGGCTCTGTCCAGACTTGAATTCAGAAGGATCTTGGAGTGGTTTTTTATCACAATTCCTTTCCTCAAAGTTGCTTCTGAATCTTGAGTTTCCTTTGAAAAATAATTATTTTCTGTCACTAATTTCAACATATTTTTCAGAAGCATTATCTATGATGTCATTCTTTTTAAGCTATGCATTAGGTTTTGTAAAATTTTGATATTTCATTACTCTGATATCTGGGAGTGTCACTGAATTCTAGAACAATCTTTGCCATACTATTTCTCTTTGCATACCTTAATACAGCAGTCTTCTCTACATACAATACCTCAAGTTTGGTTTCATATGCCACTAAGGTTGGGACATATCTGAAATTAACTGAAAGAATGCTGGAATAGAAAAAGGAGTAATGGGGAGAAACTGCTTTATATTAATCATGTAAGTATTTGCCTCAATTGTCTGCTTTCTTCGGGTGTAAAAACAGCTTAAGAAACTATCAAAGAATATGGATCTCCAAAAGATCGCTTTTATGCTTAGTTAAGAACATGAGAATGGTTCACCACACCATTCTTAGCTGCTTTGCCATCTCCCTTTTTCTCAAAGCAGGCTGAGCCACTGTAGGATTCAAACAAGGACTTAACTATATAATGAAGCTAGGCAGGCAACTGACAGGGGCTTAGAGTATGCACAACATCAAAATGGTTCCAACCTGTTGGCGAGACCATAGAATTCCTTAATTGTTAAAAAGACTTCTCTACTGTGGCAATCGGCATTGCGTTCATATTAAAATATACATACTGAACTGACCGATGTGGTTAGGAATACAAAGGGCATTTTCATGTTCAACATTCTTTTTTCAAAATGCTCTTAAGTCTCCTGCATTGCCTCCTAAAAG